AAAGTGTTTGATTTCTGGTTCTACCTTTCCTATCTGTATGTGACCATAGGCTAGAAGTTACTTAGATTCTCTATGCTTGAGTTTCTTCAACTACAAGTGAGAACTATCTTTTAGAGTTGCAAACATAAAATACTAAAATATGCATAATATTCTTAGTACAATGCAGGGCATAAAGTAAGAATCAAAAAGAATCAGCTGCTACAGTCAGCTCTACTTTCTAAAGGTGACATTGTCAGAAAGTAAACTTCAAATTCTCCCAATATTTTGATTTTCTTAAGGCTTTTTAAATATCCAGACAAAAGTCTGGATATTTAAAATTCCCCTACTTCTGCTAGACCTTGCCCTTATGACAGTCACATGATCTAGGTAGGAAAATACTGGCTTCCTCTAGCATCTAGCTCAGCAGGCTGCAGGATTCCTTCATTTTTTTCTCTCCATTACACACTCATCATCATGGATGGAGTTCCACATGAAATGTGTCTTCTTTAAATCCACAGTAAAATAGCCTTAATTTTTTATATAATATATATCCTTTAACACAAAATAGTTTTCTTTTGTAATGTATTCCAGTAGTGAGCCTCCTTTCACCAAGTCTTGAGATCATATTTATATTCTGGTATTAATACTGCAAAATCTGCTTTGTTGACTACCAATCACCTGGCGGCCCTGGAAGCCTTCAGTACCTAAAGAGCCAGTGTCTGTAACCCAGCAGAAAACAGAGTTTTGGTCAGTGGCAAAGCTCTAATCAGGGAGATCTAAAACTGATAGCTTATTGAAATGTCCCCTGGTCAACTAAAGCTTAAAGATATTACAACTGCAAGAGAGAGGCTTTAGAGGTTTATGATCTTCCCTTAGGTGAATACAGCTCATATACGTACATCTTAGAGGAAGGTATAATGTCTACCTCCATTTGCTGTCATTAATTTCTGCCCAAAGTAGATTATGCATTCGCCTACATTCTTAAAATAAATTTACCAGTTCCATTTAATCTCTCTTAATAAATCACAGCCATCCTTTTGATGTACAAGCTGTACAATCATGGAGAAATGTCTGCAGGGGTTATTTGATGTGCAGAGTTGCCTGCCCTGCCATAGAATGGCTCCAGGCTGCTATGTTTTTTCACTTCCCATATATTTTTTTCAAAATAGTTTATCTCTCTCCTCCCTTGTTGTCAAGCTGTCACTCAGCTGTCACTTTTTACTGCTGTCAGTGAGCCTGCCTTTATCACACCCCCAATTTGATGCTGCTAATCTGCTGTCAGCTGAAAAATCAGATAATCAAGACCTCTGAAATTGCATTTACAATAAGTGCTGGGCTGAGCACTGGATGGAGATTTTGAGATATGAGTTCTAGTTCCTGCTCTGCCTCTATCTAGCTGTGTGATTGCTGAAAGACACATAACTTCTCTGGGCCTTGGTACTTTCATGCATAAAATGAGGAGTAGTGGGTGTGTGGGTAGGGTGCGCGTGTACGCGCGTACGTGTATGTGTGTGTGTGTGTGTGTGAGAGAGAGAGAGAGAGAGAAAGAGATATCTTATCCAGTGCTAAAATCTAAGCTTCTCTGGCTACCAGAGAAAAATATGAAAGTTTTCTGTGAGTTAACAGAATGCAGGTTGGGCTGCCACTGACCCTTTGATTGTGAAATTCAAGGATACTTTTTAGTCATCATCTTACTTAACCTCACTGCTCTAAATTCACTACTGATTATCTCTTTAAAACTCTCTTTGCTTTATTCCACAGGATAATTATCTCATTGTTGACCTCCTAATTCTTATTTTTCCTTCTCATTTCAATCTTGGGCTCTTTCTCCACCAATCGCTGAAGTGTTGAGAGTGCCAAAGAGTCTCCAATGTCAAAGGGTCAGGATGATGGTGAGAAACCAGTAAAGGAGCCTGAGAAGCAGCAGCTTGTGTGAAAATCAGGCTGTTTTGTGTCTTAAAAGCCCACTGAAGAATGTGGCATAGTGTGTCAAATATTGCGGTATGTTAAGCAAGATGAGTACTGAGAATCGACCACAGGATTTAGAACCATGGGAGGTGACTTTGCCCAAAACAGTTTCAGTAGAATAGCTTCAAGAGAGAACAATAGGAATAAAACTGGATGCAGCAATTATAAACAACTGTTTCAAGAGGCTTTGCTACTAAGAGAAGCAGACAAACGAGGCAGTAGAACAAGGAAAAAGTGGAATCAAGAAAGAATATTTTTAAAGAAGTAAGAAATAATAGCATTTGGTATGCTAATAGGAATAATCCAGAAGAAAGGAAAATAGGAATGGATTTATTATAGAAGAGAGGAAAAGTTATGATGCAGACTAGAGAAGGAAAAATTGCTAGAACAATAATTCTTGACTATGTGAGAAGGACAGGTTCTAGGAAGAAGCAGAGATGGGGTCTTAGATAGAAGTGATGCCAGTTTCTCCATAGTAACAGGTGTGAAGATAAAGAATATGCACCCCGAAGTACATAACTGGGTAGATCTAGTGGTGTCAGCATATAAAAGTTCTCTTCTGAATGCTTTTATTTTCTCATGCATCACCTGAGAACATAGATATAAGATTTGGTATTGAAGAGTTCCAAAAAAGAAGAAGGCATGATTAGTTATCTAGAAAAAGGAAAATGTGGATGCTTGCCCAGTAGCTCAAAGGGCCCATCTAAATTTAGGAGTCATCAATTGAGAACCTGCTAATAAGTATGGTTGGATGTTTTTCTCCTACTGTGTTAAGTCCCATAAGTTTAGGTAGAAAGTAGGTGAACAAATGGATTTAACCAGGTGCCAGGAGTTTTGCCAATCAAATATAAAGCAAGTGGTGTAAAAGATTCATGGCATATGCAAGAGAGTAAACACAGTGTAATGAAGGACATGCTCTGCATTTTAACAGATTATCAACTCTATAAATCCTCACTTATTTTGTTGGAAATACGGTTTCTCCCCATCTCTGATTAATATTCATTATATTATATAGCACACTATATTAATAATTTAACTATATCTTCTGCTTTGTTTGTACTTGCATTCATTTTTACCAAGACTAAATAGTATTTGTATAGGGAGAAAGATAAGTATTTGTAAGTTTTTTAATCACCTTGGTTATTTTGACTTTGGAATTACTAAATATCTCAATAAAATAATACTCCTTTAAAACTACAGGCACTAGAATGGCTGTCATTCATGCGAATAATCACTTACACTATATGAGTTCGAGCTGGATAAAGCAAATTATCATTTGAAAATAATACAAATAACACTCCGGGCTAAGACTTTGCTTATAAATGTTATCTTGGTCAAAATATTCCTTAACCTTCTTCTATTTAGTTAACTTCCTTTATTGTAATATGGTCCAAATTAATAAACTATTCAATTGTCACAGGTATTATTAAACATATAATGTTATAGGAACATATCAAATACAAATAAATTTTAAAACATATTATTTATTTGGAATTCTATAGCAGTAATAACTAAAATGAGCCATAACCATGTACTCACTTTATGATGTATATTTTGCCTATATGGTATAAAAAAACTTAAAAACTTATATCAAAAAATGAGGTTCATTTTTTTAAAAATTCAGATATACTACTGTGTTCTAGTTAATCATAGACTTAAAATATAACAAATACATTTTTCAGAAGTTTAAATTCCCTCATCACAGACAAGAAAATGATATGTCTATAAATATTTATTATATATAATACACATATACATACATACATATATATCTGAAAATCGATTGTGATCTTGGTTCCATTTAGCTTTATAGTTTTCAAAACAGCAAATAAATCATTAAATGTTTTTGACAAATGACCTGTAATGATAGGAAACTTGAACAGTAAACCGAAATTTGAATCAAAATCATAGGGCCTAAACTGTAATCCAGTCTGCGACACTGATGGGGTGAGTACAAGCCAGTCTATTTCTCTAGGCCTCTGGTTTCTGCACTCCATAAAGTAAGGATTGGGCAAGGTGGTCTAACTTAAATTTTATGATTCACTAATTTCATTTGGTATGAGGCATATTTTTTTTCAGTGAAATATTAAAAAATAAGATAGTCAGAATAAATCAGCATTAGGGTACAGATGAGGACTACTGTCCCACAGCAAAATCTGGGTGAATTCAGTAAGTGTAGAACATAAAGACTAATGCTGACCTCCTGCATAGTATGTATGGATATTAAATCATTTCCTGCCTTCATTTTGTGGATGAGGAAGAAACAGCTGTCTCTGAACTCTTTTAAGGATGCAGTTGGTTAAAAACAGCAGCATCTCCTGCTAGTATGAGTTCCACTGAAGTAAACTTTCTGTTCACAAGGGAGAAATATTTCTGGTGGTAGTAAAAACAGTTTTCCTAGGTTTAATCAGAAGTGCAAAGGAATTCCAGAATGCTCCCTTTGAGCCACATCAACCATTGCTAATTTAGGGTAGGCCTGGCAACAAGGGTAATACAAAAGGTCCTTAGTAACTGAGAAAGAGAAACAGCAATTACGTATATTTGCAACCCCAGATAGAAGACTGAAGTCTTTACTACGATAATATGAATATTAAAAAATGGAAGAAGGAGAAAAATAAAAGAAAATAGCATGAGAAATGAAAATAATCCAGGCAGTGACACTGATTTGCTTAGAACAGTTACTATTATACATATAAATAAATCAATGAGCATAAGCTGAATACAAAGGTTGAGAAATGTGCTCGACAATGACTTCTCTAAGAGAACAACAAATAAAGAAACAAAACAGTGTTAAAAGCCAAAGCAGCTTGTTTTGGCAAACAAATAAATAAGAGGAAAGAAAGGAAGAACTCAATATCTGAACTATTCCGTGATATGTTAGAAACATGATTATTTAAAATCTTTGCAAATCACAGCATGGTGAGATTCAGCACAATTCTCTAATTAACCACGCTTATGCTGAAAAGTTAACATTGGCAAGAAGCACGCCAATTTCTGTACTTTTGAGGTATAAGTTATGACATAATATTGAGAATAGAGTCAAATATACTGACCTGCTCACATCAGGAAACCTGATGGGAAAGTAAATAACTTGGCACTTGGGTCTGATGATGCTTCCCAGATCTTTGGGTCTGTGATCAGGAATCAGCTTCATAAATTTTCCAATAGAAGTGAGAAATGACTCCATATTAAAACTTGAGTTGAATACCACCACATCAGCCACCAGGCTGTAAAGGGAAAGGGTAAATGCAAATGATGACCCCAAACCCATTCAGGATTATTTTTATAAACCTAAGATGTCTCTATATTAATCAGAGTTTACAGTACACCTTAGGTTTGCAAAGAACTCTTTACTTTCCATCAGAATCCATCAAAATGTCTCCAATAGATAAGTTAGTTTCATTAGTATTACATTGTTGGAAGTTGGATTGGTGGCATCAGAGAGGAAAGGCAACAGGGAAATGAAATGATTTAATGGTATCACATGAAACTTCACAACAAAGCATATTTTCCCACAAGGCCAGGAACTTTCTATATTACCAACAACATTAAGTACAGCAGGACCTTTTTCTGGTGGCCCAACTAACCATGTTGAATTTTTATGTTAGTGATCTGCATCATTTTACATCGTACTGCTGAGAACAGAACATTTGTCATACTTCTCACTACCTTTAAGAAGATGAATTCAGACGAAACTATTTTCATACTAGAGCGTGATACCTTCATACTATTTGGTTAAAGTCTATGTCTTATTTTAGCTTTTGCTTCAAGAAACTGTGTTAGGTTTTTAAAAGCTATGGGACTACAGTTGAAGGATTATAGTATCCCTACAATAACTTATTTCATTATTAAATTATATTTGGGGTAGTCAGAGAAGTAGAAGAAATTTGTAGAAACGGATCCAGATATTCATATCACTAGGTCATACTGATTACATAAAGGAATATATAAATTATAAAAGATTGCAACACCATACCATGGACCTTCAGAATGAAGAAAGTACTACATACCAGTCCTAAACTTACAACGGTTTGACGTAAGATTTTTTTTGACTTTACACTGGTATGAAAGCAATATGCACTCAGAGAAACCATACTTTGAATTTTGAACTTTGATTTTTTCCTGGGCTAGTGATATGTAGTATACTACTCTAGCAATGCTGGGCAGCAGCAGTAAGCTAGAGCTCCCAGTCAGCAACCCTGATCATGAAGGTAAACAACCGATCCTCTACAGTGTACTTACTGTGTTGCCAGACTTTGTTCAACTGCAGCTATTGTGAGTGCTTTGAACATGTTTAAGGTAGGCTAGGCTAAGCTCTGATGTTAAGTAGATTAAGTGTACTAAATGCATTTCGACTAAACATTTTCAACTTAGAATGGGTTTATCAGAACATAGTCCCATCATAAGTCAAGGAGCATCTGTATACAGGATTAAATAGGCAAAGCAGTTAGTTTTATTTCACCCTAAAAATGATTTTAATAAATCAATAACACTGAAAAAGAAGATATGTAAGGCCATAGGATCCCAAAACCCAATAGAATAAGTAGAACTTATAGAATAGGATTACCATAGCAAATCTTCAGTTTAATTTGTCATATTTGCTGAGACAACCAGATTTACTATTACAATATTGATACACAGCAGAATGAAAAACCTACAAAAGGAATGGTGACATGTCTTCCCCCCCAAATTGCTTTGTTTAGTTGCTACCTAGTGCAAATTTGGGGGGATGGGGATGATTACAACATGGATAATACAAAGGAATGTCAAAGAAGTGCTGACACAACACTAAGCAATAAGGAAGCCAATATAATAATATACCAAAAGTTGAAGGATGTTTCACAGCTAGTCTGTTTTCACCATATGTCATGTATTGTAATAGCGACCCACAGGTCATAATATATAGTTATGACATGTGTTCATAAGTCAGAGGGTTAGTGAAACCTCTGTTTAAGGTGAGTGCTTATGTCAGTCATCTTTAAAGTCCTTAACTGCCACACGGTCAAGAAAGAAATCTGACAGTGCCAAAAAAGCAGAAGTCAGCAAGAAAACTAAAGAAACATTTGAGGAAGCAGAAGTCATACTTTTCAAAGAGAATTTGAACAGGACTGTTTTCTGACACTCTTATTTTTCCTCTGGACAACTATGAACCATTTTTTTCCCATTAAGAAGCCAACTGATGATGAAGTCCACTTCTCTTTCTCCAAGCCTGTCTATAAGTTTACTCTCTTGAGAAAAGGAATGCTAAAAAATCCTGTGCAAGCTTTTATAGTCTCATTCCCTGAGCGAAATTGATCTTTTATGAAAGAGAGGAGAGACAGGAGCTAAAATTTTTTTTAGATATCTGCCCTCAAAGGGCATGTGACCCAACTACTTATATTCTTAAAAATCTAGTCTATGATAAATTAAAGATCCAAGATAGTTTACAAAACTATTCTTTTTGGTGCTTTTCCTCCCAGATATGAGTAGGTATAACTTCCATTAACTTTAAAGCCACCCATAAAGGGAAAAATAGGCTTAATTTTTTTCCCAGTGATTTCTCAGGGGTAATAAACACACACTATCTGAGGAAAAGAATGATGCTAATTCAAGAAATCAAAAGAATATTACAAATGTTTTCCATATTGATAAAACACAAAATGATTTTATTTTCATTTTTAAAACATATTTCCCTTCTCTGTTTCCATATAAAATAAAGTACCTTAATTTTATTACGAAATTTTAAAACGGTTGCTTTTTTATGAGACATTTGACGTGAAGCAGTTCCAGTCTATTTTGATAGCTCTGCTACTTCACAATTGAAGCAGCTTGTAAAAATGATTGTAGGAAAACATTTACAAAATGCTCAAAACACAGAATTATTACTATATAGCTGTTTTTCTATGTCAACTAAACTATGGAACATACTAGCAAGAGTCAGGGGTCTATCAAACACATGATCAATTCCATTTGCTAATAACTGTTAATAAAGGTGAATAAAATGTACCCAATCACTGCCAAACAGATTCCATTTGACTATTACAGCTATGTGAATAGGATCCAATAGCAAAGCTCTTTCAGAGTTGTTATTAACTCCTTTCATTAACTAAGCTTCAAGAGATACACTTTGTTGAAGTAACAATAGAAAAGGACCATCACCTTTGAAATGTCATGGTATTTTAAGGCTGTGCCATTTCAGAAGATTCAATGAGGGAAAAAAAAAAACACTACCTAAAGATTCATTTTCCATGGCTTTCTCTATCTTACAAATAAGAGAGAGAGAGAGAGAGAGAGAGAGAGAGAGAGAGAGAGAGAAGACAGAGAAAACCTCTTGCCCCATTATACTTTAACTTTTGTCTCCTGCAAATTTCTATTTTGATTTTAGCTGAATACAGTGATAATGCTTGGTAAATAAGAGTTGACTAACTGCTCTTTCTAGAAGTATGCCTTAAACAATAGATTTATGGAATCAAGGGGTGAAGGTCCCTGTCAACCCTCTGATTCTATTTTGAACATTATGAAAAATACAGATAGATAATTAGTTCAACATATAATTAGAGTGTTACATACATGTATGTTATAAAAGGATTAACTGTGATCTTATATATACTGCACAAGCACAAGTAATTACTATTGTGGAAGATATGTTTAAATATTTGCACCTACCTTAAGGTGTTTTTTAAGTAAGTGTACAGTAGGTCTCCAGGTTAAAAAACCAACTATCTCTAAAGAAAAAGGTGACAAAGGGCCAATATAATGATACAATCTATACCTACCATGAAAGAATTTGGTTGTATCCATACTGGAAATCCCTCTCCTGACATTTCTTGACAGGATATACCAATTGGTTCTCGTGGAAGTACAGAATCTTTTTCAATTTCCCAAGGTCAGGCCGAAGGGCAGCCAGTTCGGTCAGGTTAAGCACCGAGCTTGCAAAGAGGATCCTAGGAAACAAGGAAATTAGGGTTTACTGTCCCAGGTATGCTTGAAGGGGTCATCCTTTGCTCTTCTTCTCTCCACTTTCCTCTTCCCACCCCAAGAAAAACATATCCCCTATAGGGACACATCAATAGTTGAGCCTTAATACCATGTAGCAGCATTCTAAGTTTTGATCTCTTAAAAAGCAGCTGCTTAGAACTATAAAAGCCCTGAATCTCATTGGTCTTCTCAGCTCAGTTACTGAGAGATGCAAAAAAAAAAAAAAGAAAAAAGCTGGATGGATTTTATTGAAAAAGGCAAGAAAAGCTCTGTCTGAAGGACAAATGGAACAAAGATAAGGCTGACTGGGGAATACTTTGCTTGCCAGTTTCATTACACTTTACTTCTTTATGCAACCAACTACTGAAATTCAATATACGAGCAGCAATGGCACATGTTCATGTTATGACATAAACTCTTTTGATTTATGCAATAGACATATCTAGTGTGGTCTTTTTCTCTTGGCATGTTTTCTAGCCCTCCCCCCACTTTTAAAGTATCCTATAATACTTGTATTGTTAAAAAATCTTTTCTTCTCCATTGCTGGACAACTAATGGCAACAGATGTACAATCTGTAAAATCCCTTATATCAAGCACAAATAAAAAAAATTAATAAAAAGCTGATTCCTTGTCTTTGTGGGGGGAAAAAAGAAACTGAAAATTTACCTATCCATTTTTATAAAGGAAAACAATGACTATTTACTCTCTCATTCCACAAACATTTACTGAATACCTACTAAGTGCCAGGGTCTAATCAGGACAAACAGAAAAGATGAATGAGACTGCCCAACAGGATGAATGCTGCCTGTAATAGAGACATATACAAAGTACTAGAGGAATAAACAGAAAGGAGTAATAATTGCCTGGGACAACCTGAAAAATGTGCCTACTATTACAAATACATATGGGTATGTACTATTACATATACATATGGATACAAGAGAGAGACAAAGTACAGACTCTGAGCAGATGAGGACATTTAGATGGCACAATTTTGATAGAATGCCACCTTTATAACATAATGTAGCATCATTTGACCCTTATGGCTTTAATTCCCATTCTAAAAAATGACGTTCAAGAAGGGTAAGAGTTTTTTCAAGGATCACACTGGTAGAAAGTGGCAAAGCAGAGATTGCTGGTTTTCTAAGCTCAAAGTGCTTTTCATTACACCACAGATACGAATTGGTTGTGGACCACTTACATTGCAAATGCGTTTTTCTAAACTTAAATAGAAAATATCACCCTTGTTATTACCATGATTACAACTAGTATAAATTCTCCCTTGCTGACAAGCCAAATGGCTAACTTCAGGTGTTTATATGATCTGTAGCACTAGCCTTTCACATGAGAAGAATGATTACATAATAAGTTCATATATCATAAATAGGAATTCAATTGTCTTCTTTATGGGTTAAAATAGGCACACAAGACCAAAAGGCTACAATCCCTCTTTAAACTCACAGGGCTGTGTTAATGGTATGTTTTATCTCTTTAAAGTACCAAAAACTTACCAAGGAGATGTATTTATTTTTGAAACCATCTATATATAACCAAATAAAGCAAAGAAAAAAGTTACCTTATAATAATGCCTTATTTTACTAAGAAATATCCCCGACCAGTACTACCATGTATAAGCTTTTCTATAATTATCTTGAAAATTCTGAAATGTGAAGACATTTGTTCACCTACAAATCTGATTCTTGGCAGAGAAAACAAAATATTAATTTCGATCAATCAATATTTTCCTTAAAAGGGAATGGATGGCAATTTGTAGGTCTAGTTATTGACCCTAATCTCCTTCTGTTCTCCCCACCACCCCTACCACCTTACCCACATACATGATTGCAAGCAATGACTCCCATTCCTAATCATTAAGACCTGAGAAAGAGCAATGTTTTTCACATACAAGGCAGAAAAATGCATTAAATGCAGCCCCCATATGACTTATTAATTACAAATAAAAAGTGGTACATAAAGATAAAGAATGGAGAAATCTGGTTAAAACCCACTTAACCAAGTGATCAAACTTGATATATGACCAATAATGGGACAATGATATCATGCATTTTTCAATATGATACACCGAAAAAGATACAAATCACCAGTGTGATAAACCTGCCAAAAATGTCTGATCTGAATTTGGTAATGAAGAAATTATCAGACAAATATTCTGCAAAATAACTGGGTTGGATCTCCAAAAATGTCAATGTTATAAAAGAAAAAAAAATCTAGGTTAAAGGAAAATAAGGAGACCTCAAAACAAAATTCATTGTGTGATCCTTGATTGGATACTGGAAGGGTGAAAAAACAGGTATATAGGACATTACTAGGACAATAGGGAAAATTTGGATATGGGCTAAATATTAGATTGTAGATTTTTGTTAAACTTGAACTTCTTAAGTATAATAATTCCATTACAGTTATGTAGGAGAATATCCTTATTCTTAGGAGATTCATGTCAGTTATTTACATGAGAAGTGTCCTGACTTCTGCAATTAATTCTTAAATGGTTCAGGCAAAATGCTACTAATAACAATAAATAAATAATAATATGTACATATTTACATAGTCAGAGAAATAAAAATATGCCAAAACATTAACAATTAAGTGAATAGGTATATAATAATTCATTGTCCTATTAAATTTTTGGTAAGTTATACATTTCTAAAACTACAAATTCTGGTGGATATGCATGAAATGGCAGTCAGCAGAAGGAAAAAAAAATTCTACATTTCATAAACAATAAACCCTTCATATATGTATTTCTAGCCATAATCCAACTGTTAATTTCCTACATGAGGATTATCCTCAGGGTAGACCATCTGTAGCAAATGTTTAACCAAGGTGAGCCCTTCATTCTATTGCTGCCACATGTTCCCTTTTCTTACCCTACCCACCAGCTGATCCGTAATCAAAGAATCCACACCTAAAGTTGAAAGAACACCTTTCAAAGAACACCTCCCAAATAAAAGAATTCAAAACATTCAGAAGATAAATAGCCATGATTTTCATAACATTAACCATTTGAGACTGCCCACACCAACACTTCCTTCAGTTTGTTTAATCATTAAAAGGAAATCCACTGTTTTTATAACTAATTTTAAAATAGCTCTCACTACTTCTAAATGGTGGAAATTATCTCCAGCACTAGTAAAGCATTTCTTGCTGCTTTTCGCTTGTAAAATGGTAGTTAAACTGGGAAATAAGCATTCCTCAAATATTTAGCTCAATCACACCCCAAAAAGAAGTGGTGAACATGCCCACAAGAGGAATGCAGGTATGATCCACAGGCAATTTTTACTTTTGCCTTACCATCAATTTTAAAAAGTTGATGATAATACAATGAATGACATCACTCAATCAGCAGCTAATCCCTACACTACCAATGTTCATCTTGCCCCAGGTATTATTTAAGCAATAAATCCTAACAAGGTGCATTTTATCATCCCACAGTGTGTCTCTGGCAGGAGAGGGCAGGAGGTGATAGCAAAAACCACTAGGAACAAGATAATTCCTGACAGCTGCTGCTTGAGCACAAGTTAAATTGAACAGTTTATCTCAGCATGAAGATGTTATAAGGTTTTATGTTTAATATTTTTAAATTAACATAAAACCCAGAGAAAGCAGTTGGGCAATCTTTCACAAACATGACATACTACAATCACTGTATAAGCTGGATTAGTACTTATTACCATGCTACTACAGAATTAAGCTGTTTTTAGACCACCAAAGAGCTTTAAATTGCAACTTTTGTCTCTGTAAGAGAAACCTATATTTAAAATGTCTGCTAAATTCAAATTAACGGCTACATCATTAGCTTACCATTTCACCAAAAGTACAAGTAAGCTGCTATTATAATCGTCTAACCAAAATGGCTCCATGCTGCAAGCACATTAACACCATTCTGTGTGTCTGGGATATAACCACATACATGTTTCGATTGTTTCCAACACACATTGTATCTACAACTTCAATCATATTTGCTTCAAAAATCCAAACTATTTAGCACAGTGAAATTTGAGATTAGGGATTTTATTTTTTTCTGTTCGGTTTGATAAACCAGTTGTTTGCCTTTTAGCCTATTTACTTAATATGTAAAAAGAAATGCTGAAATATACCTAAGCACTGTAGGAGTGTGACCATTATCATCAAGGTGCGTATTTTGGTATCTTAAATGGCATGGAAGGGCACTGAAATGAGAAAGAGAGGGCAGGCATTCAATGTTTCAGCCACTGCCCATACAATCTAGTAATAATCTTTCATGGGCTAGGTTATCTCACATAAAATCTTTTCAATAGGCCCCTTCCTCCACTGAAACCATTTATCACATAATGAGATAGAGTACAGGACTTAACACAGATACCAGTTTGGGCTACGTTACTACTCAATTAATTTCTTGCATGGCCTCAGTAGGCCTTTGACAAAAGGCCTTCTTCCAACTGTGTCATTTTACTCAATACCTAAATTCCTGGTCTAGATCTATGCTGTTCAGTCTCATTACTTAAGTCTTGATTCATTTGTACCCTGTTCTTGTTCCTTGATACCTACTCTCCAGGATCCTAGATTCTTTACTTTCTGTGATGTAGTATTTTCTGTGACGATGGAAATATTCTATATCTGCACTGTCCACATAAGACTAACTACTTATAGCTATTAAGCACTTGAAATGTAGCCAGCACACTTGAGGAACTAAATTTTCAATTTCATTTGATTATTTTAAGTTTAAATTTAAATTGACTGGCCATGTGTGGCTAGTGGCTACTATACTAGAAAGCACAACTCTGGATGACCAGCTTTTCCTTAACCTGACACTGACCCACCCATGCTACCTGAATACAATTCCTTGCTTAATTAATATTCCTGAACAGACCCTTGACCTGTTTGTGATAACCTAATTTCTAAATTCCTCCTCACGAGCTGAATTTCACCTACCAGACTCTCCAATTCTGGAATGGCACTATTTTT